AAATACCATCTTTTCCTCGAAGCCTCCTCTAACTCCCCCAGTAGAGTCACAAATTCCCTCCTCTAGGATCCCAGGCAACTTTGTTCATACCTCCGTAATACCCATCATATGTTATAAAAAATATTTACTGATGTGTCTTTTTCTCCCATCTATTAGACTGTGTGCTTCTAGAGGGCAGAGGCCATGCCTCTTCCCTCTGTGTCTCTAGGGGCATAGCACTGGGCTGGTACAGACAAGTGTTCGGTAAACAAAAGAATAAGGGAGGTTGACATATGACACATGGTAACCCATAAAACCCATGAGAACTTTGGGGAGGAACCAGAGCAGGAGTAGCAAACTATGCACTAAAGACAAACTATTTGTTATTTATTCATTCAACAAGTTATTTATTGAGAATTTTCTTTGTGTTAAATATGCTAAATGCTAAAGATACAGTACAGTTCAAGACAGACTTGGTCTCTGCTCTCATGGAGTTTACAGGTTATTAAGCAAGACTGTCATTTAATAATTCACAAAAAAATTAAAATTGAGCAAGAGGTATTCAAGAAAAGGAAAGGGGTGGTGAGAGGGTATATTGTGTGGATGTGAGGGGCTGAGACAGCACTCTATCTTGGGTGTGATGAGCTGCAAGAAAGCTCAGTTCATTATAAGGACTTACTCAAATCCTCCTATAACCTGGCCCCGCAAAAGTCGTCCCCCAAAACAATATCTCCGTTGCAGTCTTCTCAATGGGCTTTTGTTAGCACCTACTGGAGTTTTCTTTGGAGATTCAATCATTGTCCCTGACGACCAACTCTTTGAAACTCATTGTTAATCAGCCTACTGGGCGCCATGATCTTCACCTTCATCATCATCATCATCATCATCATCATCTTCGTCATCTTCTTTTTCATCCCCAACATCACCATGACCACCCTACCACCACCATCCTTTACAGTTCTTGGATCCTTTGTATGTGCCAGGCGCTGTGATGAATGTTTATTTAATCTTTTCCACATTCCTCTGAGAAAGGCAGTATCATTAACCTCTTTTTAAAAATGAGAAAGAGGGAGGTTAAGTAACTTGCCGGGGGTCACATAATTAATAAGTGGTAGCTCTAAGATTCTAATCCAAAATCTTTGTTCTTAACCAGTTTCCTGTATGTGCTCACAGGATGGCTCCAAATGGACCTTTTTTTAGTTAAAAAAAAAAATCCTTCATAAGCATTTTTCTTGAATTTCTTGGGTCTCTTAATGGCCTCTCTTGGGAGGTACTTGGAAGAAGTCATTAGAGAGGAAATTTTATTATTTATTGCCAAGCAGTCATCTTTAGTCATTACTAGAACTCAGAATACGCTGCACATTTGTTCCTTTCAGGAGAGTCGTATAACAGGGTCCTTTGGAGAGACAGGGTCCCCTGTCTTCCTTCAAATTACACTGTGTAATACCATCGTCACCTGTGATAATTATGGTTCGAAACACCACACTGAGTTCAGCCTCTTGTGGGTTGTATTCAAACCTTAGTTTCCTAGAGCCTGCAGGAAGGCAGCATTCTGGGAAGCTGGGTTTATGATTAGTCCTTTATGGGCACCGCACAGATGTATGAGAAGATGAACACAGATCATTCAGAAACACTTAATCAAAATGTAACTCACATACAGAAAAGTTCACTAACTAGTGGGATAATCTCATCACTGATAATAACAAGAGCTAATATTTAAGTGCCTATTATTTGTGAAGCATGATCTTAAGGCCTTTACATGTATTAATTCATTTTTGCTTCACACTAATAATTTGAAGTGTTTTTATTATGCCCATTGTATAGGTATTTTAAATCTTAACAAAGTCCAAGAAAAAGGAGCACTCAGGTCTTGATGGAAAAATCAGAGGACACATCACACAAAAGATGTGAAAATATAACTAATTTTTGAAGAGGTTTGTTAAGAATGGAAGAAGAGGAACATTCCAGGCATGTGAGGAGCCTGTGGAGAAAAAACGTACTGCAGGGTGAAGTGATAAGGTTTTCCAGGAAACTGTCAGTGCATGAGTCCCAGGACTGGAATGCACTGTGGCCGGGAGTGGGAATGTGGTTGGTGAAGCTGGAGAGGCAGAGGCCGAGGGCCTGTTCGTCTATGAGTTTGAGCTTTATGCTGAAGCCAGCGGCCGGGAAGCAGGGGTTGACTACCTGTCTTAGGTTGGGCTCCCAAGATGCAGAATGTATTCGTTTCCTAGGGCTGCCACACACAGTACCACAAACCAAAGGCTTAAAACAATAGGAATGGTTTCTCTCATATTTTTGGAGGCTAAAACTCTGAAACCAAGGTGTCAGCAGAATTGGTTTCTTTCTGGAGGGTCCAAGGGAGCATTTCTTCCATGGTTCTTGCTTCTGGTGACAATCCTTGCCATTCCTTGGCTTGTAGATGCATCACTCCAATCTCTGCCTCTGTCATCATGTGGCATTCTGCCCTGTGTGTCTCCAGGTCTCTAGTTCTAAGGACACCAGTCATACTGGATTTTGAGCCCACTCTAATCCAGTATGACCTCATCTTAACTAATTATACTTGCAAGAACGCTATTTCCAAATAAGGTCACATTTCCAGGCACAGGGACAGGATTGCAACATATATTTTTGGAGGACACAATTTAACTTATAAACCCTCAGGTGAGGATTTGGATGCAAGTGACTTATTAAGGAAGTGCTCCCAGGGGAAACCAGTAAGGGAGTGGGGAAACAAGACAGGATGAAGAGGCCCTGACAGGCTGTCACCTCAGGGAAGGTCCCTAAGAAGAGTTTCAATCTGATCCTGGAGGCCCATTTTGAAGTGGCAGGTACTCCTCAGGGTTGTCCTCCCTGATGCAGGGAGCTGGGGCTGTCCTATTAGGCAGAGCAGGCTCCAGTGGCCTGAGGGCTACAGGTACTCGCTGCTAGAAGCAAAGACACATCAGCATCAAGGGCACTTTAAAATGGCCAAAAGGAAGTTGAGGGGATCTGGGCAGAGCACCTTTATTGTCTGCTCACCCTCCTCCAGAATTGTGGCCTTAAGGGCCACCCCGCTCCACCCTAGATAGCCTCAGGCTGCTTTGGGGCTCTCTGTCTGTCCCTCAGAGATCTCAGCTGTTTCTACTGACACGATAACCATCATTTTCTGCTTGCCACTGCTGAGCACCACACTTTTCTTACTCTATTGTGCTTCCCCCACCATGCCTTCTTACTTTCTATCTGACCTTTAGGAGACATCAGTAGCCAATAGGAATGCTACTTTACTTTTGCAGGATGAACTGACCAGTCACAACATGAGATCTGCAGTCTCTGTGTCCCAAAGTTCTCCTCTGGTATGTCACTGTGTCAGTGGCTCATGGACAACTGAACATTATCCAAGACGTTGGTTTTAGCTTTAGGAGTTTTAGGGGCCTTCATTTTCAGGACTGAAACTAGTTTGAGGAATTTGAAGGACGAAATGCTCCTCCCCAACAGGGGGTTGCTTATCAGAATTGCATAAATATATGTTAAATGAACTGGTTAATTTTTTTTTATGTAACCAACACTTATGGAATACCCATACTATGACACATATACTCAGTATGTGCAACCATGGGTGGAGTGTTAAACTGGGGAGAGGGTTTGGCCCTAAGCCTGCCTCTAGGTGATTTTACTACCTTGGGGGTGTCTGTTGACCTCTCTATTTCTTTGTTTCCTACCTGTGAATTTGGAAGGCTAGAATGGAGCATTCTTGGGATAACTTGAGGCTCTAATAGTCTGTAATTCCATGTTTAAAGGCCAGAATCTTAGCACTTTGATCAAGCAATAAAGTAATCTAAACCTCAATTTATATCAATTCCAAGAAACTTGAATAGAGTGTTTATTAGATGTCACTCTCTGTGCTAGGTGCTAGGGATACAAAGATAATTAAAAACCAGTCCCTCTCCAGCATTAACTGACAGTCCAGTGGAGAAGGCAGGTAAAAAGAGAACTGCAATTCAGTTCAAAAGTTACAATAAAAGATTTCCATCTTAGGAGATTGGGTATACAAAGAGATGGGTGAACACCATTGCTGAGAAGGCACCTGAACTAGATTTCAATGAAAACAGTTCTCTGGGTAAATATAAGAAGGAAGAGTATAATGTAAATTCATAACCCCAGTTACTCTAACAAAACCCCGTAATATAAGTTGATTTCCAGTTTATGCAAAGTACAATATAGTTGTCTCTGGTCAGTGAGTGATTCTTTGTAGTTATTCAGAAGCCCAGGTTCCTTCCATCTTGTGGCTCCTTCTCCTGGGACAATAGTCCTCTGTTGTATCCCCTGCTTTTGGCAGGCAGAGGCAGGAGAGAAGAGTGGAGGATCATGTGGAAAGTTTGTATGGGCCAAGTTGAAGGTAGCATGCATGAAGTTTACCCATGCTTTCCACCTAACTGCAAGGGAGACTGAGGCAATGTAGTCTAGCTGAGTGCAGTTCCCTTGACCACTGGCTAAGTGGGCCAGGTCTACTGGAAAAACCCATAATGGAGCAGGCAGCAAATGCTTCAAATCTACTTTAAGGGGTTGGCCACCCCTTAAGGAAATGTGTTTTGGAGAACACAAGACGGTTTCTGCCAGTTTGTGCTGTAAGCAGCTAGATTTCCCTTGGGCTGATCTAATGGAAGTGTATCATTAGATAACTGTCAAGATTAGAGGTGCTCACCAGGGACTATATCAAATCGTGGTTACGAGGAGAGAGCACACCTCAACGTTGGCTGGTTAAAGAATTCCCAAGTGAGAATTTAGCACTTAGCAGGTTCTGAAATGTAAAAGGGAGCTAGGTGGAGAGAGTGAGAATTTAGCAGGTTCTAAAGTATAGGAGGGAGCTGGCTGGAGAGAGTGAGAATTAGCTACTTAACTGCACGAGTCTTCCCCCCTGTCCATTGCCCCTGTAACCCACAGGCCTGGGAGGCTGATGGAGAACTCACATCTACCCACTTGACAGATGGAACGCAGTGGATTTCCGTGCTTACAACCTGCTTTCTTCTCTCTCCACAGTGACACTTTCCGCTGCCCCTCCCTCCTACTTCAGAGGATTCACACTGATTGCCCTCAGAGAGAACAGAGAGGGTGATAAGGAAGAAGATCATGCTGGAACCTTCCAGGTAAGACCCTTTCCGGGCTTATCCAGTGGCCTTCATGGCCCTGGTAGGTTGAAGCCAAGTGAAAAGCGGACAAACTGAGAAGCTGAGTAAAATGAGAGGTGCTAGCGTCGGAGGTGCCTCCTCGGGCAGTTCCTCTGACGGCTGCCCAGGTGGCCCAGGTCTTCTGGAAAGAGCCATGAGGGAGCAGGCCCAAGCGCCTGGACTCTGCCCTCAGGGCTGGCCGCCAGGCAGGGCTTGTCTCTGGGCTCACGGGGCGTTGGGCAGCAGCAGCCTGGCCCAGGAGAGCGCTGGAGCCCAGGAGCCGGCTTCTTCCCGCAAGGCCATGTCCCGATGGCCTGGCGATTCCCAGGCATAAAGGGGACAAGAGCCCAGGATGGCCAGACTGCAGCGAGCTCAAAGCTCAGGAGAAGGACCGTCAAGGGAATGGCGGGATTGATTTACGGGGAAAGATGAAAAGAATTAACCGTGCTTTGCTTGGCTAAATGAACAGGACCGAGTTTAAGAGGTGGTAATGGGCTTTAAATGTCAGCCCTCACAGAGCAGTCTCCTCCAGGGGAGGCTTCGTCTGACTTTGTACAAAAGGGCACAGCGCGACGAAAGTGGGTCAGGGGAAGAAAGGGACTCGCAGAGGCAAGGGCCCTGACAGGGAGTCATATTTCACTGTGCAGTGGCCTTCCAAGGGAAGTGGCGGGAACATCTTCTCCTTTCAGGGGTTTAAAAAGAGGCCGGCGAGTTGTCAGAACATGGCCCAGGAGGACTGGGGTGAGCCTGGGGGGCCCAGCCAAATCCGCTGTAGCCATTACTCATCTTGAACTTCCATTGTTCTGGAATCCATTTCTATCTGGCATTTGCAAACTCAGACAGAAGAAGGTACGTAGGCCCATAGTTGGCTGCTGGGGACGCTGATACAATTTGTGGGCTTCACAGAGGACCCTGCCCCAAAGTATCTTCTCCATACAAAGCTGTATTTTAATCGCTTGTGGCCAGGTTGTAATTTTGAGCCCTGTGATTTTGTTTTTTAATGTCCATTTTGTAGGATTCTGAGCTTCTGACCTAGTAGGTCTGTTAATTCTGTGCTTATTGTAGTGTCTTTCTATGTACCTATATGGCAGGAATCTTCTTGGCATGTATCTGAAGGAGTTACCCCACATAATACTAACAACAGCCAATATATATATATATTTTTTGGTACTTACCATAAGCCAGGCACTAGGTTAAGTGCTTTACCTTATCTTGGTTTATTTTAATTTAATTAGTTTGTCTTATCATAGTTTTATTGCTATTTTATAGATCAGGAAATTGAAACTAGAGAGATTAAATCATTTGCCTAAATGGCTAGTAAATAGTAAGACCAGGTTCCAATATCAGGTGTCTGATTCCAGAAACTGAATCTTTTCCATAGAGCATTGAATAAGCTCCTGGCACAGGTGTGTTTGGACAGTGCATCAGTTACGTTGTTCATTATAGGGAAAGGAAGATGCATGCATCCAGCTTGTAAAGCATTAAAATATATTCCCCTTGTCCTTGTTGTGCTAGTTTACCTGGAGGTGTGGATGATTTCTCAGATTCGGGCAGCTGAGAGATCTGGGTACTGAGTGTCAGGAGGGATAACTTTTGAAGAAAAGAAAAGGTGGGGGGTGGAGTGAGGGCTTGTGATCTTAATCTTCACCCAACCAAAACATATCTGCTTTAAAATGATGCTTAGAGATATATACCCAAAAGAGTTGGAAGCAGGGACTCGAACAGGTATTTGTACACCCATGTTCATAGCAGCATTATTTACAATAGCCAAATGTCTGGATGGATGGATGGATGGATGGATGGATGGATGGATGGATGGATGGATGGATGGTGGATGGGTGGGTGGGTGGGTGGATGGGTGGATGGATAAAATATGGCATATACATACAGTGGAATATCATTCATTCCTAAAAAGGAAGGAAATTCTGACACATGCTGTAACATGGATGAACCTTGAAGACATCATGGTAAGTGAAAGAAGTCAGCCACAAAAGGACAAATACTGTGTGATTCACTTATATAAGGTACCTAGGATAGGCAAATTCATAGAGACAGAAAATAGAATGGTGGTTGCCAGGGCATGTGGGAGAGGGGAAGTAGGGAATCATTGATGAATGGATCTGGAGGTTCATTTGAGAAATGGTAGTTATGTTCACTTAATGCACTGAACTGTACACTTAAAAAAGGGCTAAAATGGTAAATTTTATGTTATGTATATCCTACCACAATTTAAAAAATGATACCTGAGTTAGGCCAGATGGGGCCATGCTATAGAGTTGGGCCTGTGGGGACATGGCTTCTCTTGCTTTAACGCTGTTCCGTTTTAATTCCATAGCTTAATAGTTCTCACCAACTCACTGTTGTTTCTGCTCAGTTAAATCTTCGTCTAGGACACTGATTGGTGAATACAAGGCCCTGCTCACAGTGGGCAGTGAGTAAATGCTTGTTGAATGAATAAATGAACAAATTACGTTTTAATACCAGTGTCCATATTCAGTTCCATTTGGAACTGTTTTAGAACTCTTGTCTCTTTATGCATACCTCCTTTCTCCTTCTCTTGGAGCTTTTGACATCCTTTCTGATTACATCTTAGTGGTTGTCAGAGTGTGATCTCTGGACCATCAAGAGCAGTGTCACATGAGAACTTGTTAGAAATGCAAAATCTCAAACCCCACCCAGACCTACTGAGTCAGAAGCTCTGAGGGTAGGGCCCCCACAGCCTGTGTTTTAACAAGCCTTCAGGGGGAAACCGATGCATGCTAGAGCTTGAGAACCAGTGTTGAAAGGAGACATAGATCCAGCCCATCCCACGTGAACTCCTCCATCATCACATCAACATATCTGTCTGCTCCTATCTATCCTCACATTGCTTCCACCAGCCCCAGAGGGATCCAAGTGGGAAACAAATATGAAAAATGCCTAGCATACAATAATACTGCGTGTGTGCCAGATGTGGTTCTGAGTGGTTTTCATTTATTAACTGAGTTAATCCTCAGAGCAACACTATGAGGTCAGCACTATTGTCCTACTCACACATGAGGAAACTGTGGCCCAGAGGAATTGAGCAACTTCTTAAGCCCACTTAGCCCTGAGTGATAAGGCTCAGATGCAAACCTAGGCATTCCAGGTCCCTGCCTCCAAACCTGTGTACCCTGCCTCTCAGGGTGGATGTGTTAAGTGAAAAAATGAGGGTGTGCTATGACTTTTTTAGGGTGGTAGTTTCTGTACCAAGGACTTTATATACATTATCCTACTTAATTCTTGCAGCAATCTTGTGAGGCCAGTATTGTTATCCCCATTTTCCAGATGATGAAACTGAGTCTTCAAGAGGTTAAGTAATTTGACCAAAGTAATCCAGCATATATGGAGGGAGAAAGGGGCAACCGCTGCGCCAGTGATTTTCTCTCACTCCATCTCCCTGCCCGCTCCTGCCCTACCTTGTGCATTAAGTGCCCACTCCACTTGGGTTCCTATCGCCTAAGGCGTGAGAGGGGAGGCATCCTAGCTCCTGCTTCCGTCCTCTCCTGTTTCAGACATGGTGGGCTCTGTGCTTGCCCCTCCCACTCTAACATAAAGTCCTTTCTCTCTGGACCAAAGCTGCCATCTGAAGTCATTCACTTGCTCATCAGCATCGGTTCAGTGTCTCCTACGTGCCAGGCACTGAGGTTGGCACTGGGGATATGATGGTGAGAAAAAAAGACATAGTCTTGTCCTCATGGAGCACACAGTGTCTCCCTTGTCACTGGACCTTAAATGACCTATGTGACCCATAGGCGTGGTAGAAAGGCAGCAAGTCATCAGTTGGGATGTGAGTAGATAATCAGAAACGACAAATGCCATTGTAATTTTAAAAATATACACATAGTGATTAACAGATATTTAGATATGCTTCTTTGTTAACACCCTCCCTCTAAATCTGACAGCTTTGAGGACTTAACATCAACAACAAAATTCTAATACTCTTTAAATCTGGTTAAAGCTTACGTTCTTAGTTCTGAAAGTGACTCTGAGAGTGGGTGGTTTTGCTTCTAAATGGGTGAGCCCTTGCGTGGAGCATCAGACTCACCAGGTACAGAGACAGCAAAAGGGAACTTTCATGCCCCTTAGACTCCGCGGGAGGGCCTGGGGCTGCTCGGCACAGGGAGGTAAGCGTTGCACCCTTACCANGCTGCCCACTCTGGCAGAGGGCCCGAGAGAAGAGGGTCCAGCCTTCTCTGCTTCGAGCGGAGGGCCCGGCATGGCAGCATTGGCACAGGCTAGGGCATCTGCCTCTGGCTGCCAGACGGGAGAGACAGGAATCTCTCTGATGAGCCAGTTGGGTGTACTCATGGTTAACTGAAAGTGACAAGGAATGCAGGGCCGGGCTGCCTGTCCCGGAGTAACCCACCCAGTCTTTAAAATTGTATTGCTAAAAACGAATTGCTCCCTGGAACGCTCACGGCCAGCCAACTGCCTGCTCACTCTCCTGTGTGCTGCAGGCCTCTGCTCAGATGTCCCTTTCAAGGGAGGCCATCCTGATCACCCGATTTAAAACTTCTTCCGCTCTCCCTTCCCCCCCTGAGCTGGACTCCTTGTCCTTCTTTCCCACTTAATGTTTTTTCCGTTGCCTTTGTGGTCACCTGACATGCTATCTATTCCACTCGTTGACTTGAGTATTACCTGCCCTCTTCCACTAAATTATAAGCTCCATGAAGCAGAGTTTTTATCTGTCCTGTTTGCTGCTGTATCCCCAGCACCTCGAACTGTGCTCTGTACAGAGTAGACGTTCAAGTATTTATGGACAGAATTTTAAACTGCTAATTTATAATACTATTGCTTTATTTAATTTTAATTGAAGGCCTATATGCATCAACTAGTTTAGGCAACAGTCTGCCAATCAAAGAAAGAAAGACTCACGATAAAGGGCTGTTTGCCTGAGAAGATCCCTTATCAATACCATGCAAACAAATATTTTTAATAGCTAATTATTTCATATTCTT